TTCTATTTCTGGAAAAAAGGTTGACTATAACTGGCTCTACATTTGTAAAATTTTCTCTAAATATCAATCTCATTATAGCAATACAAAGGGATTTGGTTTGAGCCTTAAAATGCATTCAAACAAAGGGGAACTCAAAGTAGTTCTATGTTGTAACACTGATTTTTAGAAATGAAGTATATTTCTGTCTTTCTAATAAACAAGTTCTACTTGCTCCAAACTGGACACCTGAAACATGAAACATCATAGATCTGTGTTGCTTTACCTTAAAAACATCTTCAGAGTACAAAAAACACTTGAGTGAACAGCTGAAAGATAAACTGTATTTATACAAATAACAAAAAAGTAATTTCATTTATAGAAAAATTTAACATATATATTAATTTTCATCATTCTGCCTTGTCTACTCAAGCAAAGGTTTTGCTGCAAGCTATAAAACAGAAAACAGGGATTTGAAGAAAAATGTTGCTTTTATAAAAGCAGTTCTCCCCTTCCTCTCAACTCATACCCAGCGTGATTATCCAGTTCTATTTAGCAGAGGTTTCCTGTCCCAGCTGGTAAATGTGTTACATTGCCCTCTGTCGCTTGTCTTGTATTTTTTCCACCAAGGAAGATCTACTCTAAAAGGATGAGGAAAGTTTCACTACTCCTGATAGACAGCAAAGACTCTCTGCTCACTCCTTCTGTAGATATCTTTGCGTTTGGAGAAAACGAAAAATCCTCATCTGGTATTTAAGGTTCAAATCTGGGAGAAGTATAAACCTGGGAAAGAAGAAACACTTATCAATATTTAAAGTGGGAAAGCTCATTTCAATTTCCTGTTCTGCTGAACTTCTCAGTGCACATTGGAAAGCAACTTAAAGCCGATTACACACAGCTGAAATGAAGTTGGCACTGGCCCTTTTCTTTTGCTCTTCAGTCAGGAAGACTATGATAGCTAGATCTTTTGAACAAGCACAGAAACCCTTCCCAATCCACAAGTGACACAGTCAAATTGAAAACTCTAAGAGTTGCTCAGATCCTTGCAATGGTTGGTACGGCATAAAGTAAGATTTTTTGTTTCCTTGTTATACTAGGATCTAGTGCTGGATGGTGCATCTCAAAATAATTTCAACTCTGAGAAATTTATGCTGCAATTTTGCATAAGGAGGAGGAGTTTTGGACAGCTGAGTCTTACAGAAATCTGATTTCCATCATTGCTTTCTGGGCCTCCTGAAAAAAGCCAGCTTCTTCCTTCTTTTTTCTCACACTAGCAATCATGTACCTGTGTGATGAGCCAGTCTAGGGTCAAAAACTAATTCCCCCCTCCAACATTTTATTTCATCATTATTTACAGAAAAAAGATAACATACATGTTTAAAACTACATAGAAATTATGTCTTGGGTGTATATCTCAATTGAACTTGAACATATATTTAACTATTTAATTAATAGAAATAGAAATTTAAAGAGGATGAAACAGTCTATCAAAAAATTAATATAATATTGAAATATATTTTATGCCTTTTTAGAGATAAGAATATTTATAAAAAGCATAATTTATATTAAAAAATCCACTTATCACATACAAAAATTTCTGATATATCATTTCAATTTTCACACATATGCATCACTTCGTTTAACTCCAGTGATTATTGTTTATATCCTTACAGCTCAGAGTGCTGCTGGCCTAGATATAAGGGTGGGGATTATTCTCAAGCAGTACAAAGTAAATGCTGATTACCTCAATCTGCCAAATTTTTTCTGGGAATGTTATACTGCAGAATGTACCCCAGATCAGAATTATGTATTAAGTTCTGTTTTGCATTACTTGATTATGTCCATGACAGAAATGATTACTGTGACCTCCCTAGTGGCCACAAATCTGAGGTATTGTTTTTAAGCAATTTATTTGGTCTGAAGGATGGTGTAACTTTGTCACATAAATGATTCTTTTAAGCACAATTTTAAAGGAAGCATTCAATCTAGTATTTTGCTGTCTGGATAATGACTTGAGGCCTTGGCTCAACCTCTCCTGTGTTTCTATTACCTCTAAACTCTAAGAAGTGGTTATGAAATGTCACATACCTACCCTGCTATTCAATTTGTGCTCACAGAGGAAGTCATTCCAATCTCACAAAAGAATTCTGAATCATCGTTTATCTGCCTGTGCAGAGTTTTGAGATCCTTGGCAAGGGGGATAATAGGATTGTAAGGTCCTTTGTTTGTTTTTAAGATTTTTTAAATATCAAAATCGGGATTGAATTCTATTTATATATTGCAGCCAATATAGCACAAAAGAAATAAAGCCTTTTAAGTAAAATATTTTATTTATACTTTGAAAGTAACAATTTGTAGACCTGCTGCCTTTCTGTGGACTATTTCAAGCCATATTAAAACCAAGTGCATGACTCCCAGCCTTCCAGGGTGCTTGCATCAGGACTCAGGAGAGTCTCACAAACCCAGGTGATGCGTTGGATGCCTCATATCATTTAGAGTTAATTGAAATTCAATAACGAATGGCAGCATTCAATATCACACCATAAATAATAATGCAGAAGGGAAGAAGGGTTCCCTGCTGACTGTGCACCTGAGGCACACCTTTTCTAACCACCTAGAACTAACACATTTGAGCTATGCTTGCGTGTAACCCAACAAAACAATAACAGCCCAGCAATACCAAAGTTTTCTCCCCAAATACTTCCCCAGTTCACCAGCAGCACAGGTTGTATGTGAGCCTAGCAGAAAAAGCCTTCTCTGTGTTAGTAATTATATTGCCTCTGATTTTTCATGTTGCCACATAGTTTGTCCCTGTACTCAGCTTTCCTGGGATTTGGGATGCCTCACAGGCCTGTCCAATTCGTTTAAAATGGGTATTAGGGGTTATTTTAAAATTTTAGATCTGAAGCATGACTTCAGTGCATGAAGCTATGGTAAATCTCAAGGAACATCATGGGTAATAATTGTGATTAGAGCCTTAAAACCAGCACATTTTCCTTGGGAAAGGCTATGAGCACAAGCTCAGTATAAATACATTCCTACCCTGTGTGGCCTTTGAAGAATGACAATGTGCTATCACAGCAACAAGGAGCCACTGCGACTGCTCTCCTTAATGAATGTGGTTTTTTATTTTTTGATGGAACTAACATATGAAAATTAGATTATAGCTTCAGTCTTATTATTACTGGAAGTGTGATTTGAGAAGGAATACCACGAATACCTGTGGAAAAAGAAATCATTCTGCTTGGATTACATAATATATTTCATAAAAGAATAAATCATGAAGCTTCACTTTCAGTTATTCTTTTTTCCCCTCCATTTTGATATCTGTGAAGTCACTTTTTCTTAGGGCAAGTAGTTAAAATTAGTTTTCTTTACTTTGAGGGTTGATTCTGCATCTAGTATCAGTTGTTAATTCCTAATAAGTGGGACTTACAGGCGGATCCAAAGAAGACTTTAGATCGACCTGGCAGGGTCCGAACTGACAATGAACAGAGCACATTTTCACATCCGGACAGGGAGAGATGAGGGCCTTGTGTCTTAAGACACAGCCAGGGTTAGATGGCTTCTGAAAGAGTGTTCTTCAGATTTCAGGTCTTGCTCCTGTGTCCTTATCTTTGTCATTTTCCACAGTTTGGGCTGTCATTTTATAGATTATTCTAAAACAACAACATTGAGCTTATTCCCCCTCTCTTCTCAGTCTTACTCCAAGTTACAAAATATCTCTAAGTTGGAAGGAACAAATTGTCTTGATTGCCAAAGTTTTTTCTTCTTTCTTCTGTTTCTCATCCTCTACTGTGGAGTCATTAAACCATGAAAGGAGAAGGAAACAAGGACACTTCCAATTGCAAACTGCAACAATTAGGAAGCAGGAACACCCCAATTCTATAAGTAACCTAAGAAATTTTTTCTTAATTTTTTCCTGCTTCTCCTTCCCACCTATTTCCCTCCCCTCCTTCCTTGCCCCTCCCTCCCCCACGACCCCCTCCATGTCTGTGCATCCTATTTCACACGTTCATTTTGGAACTGGCATTAATTCAGGACCAAACTTCATAAAAATAATTTCAGTTAAACACAATAAGTGGACCCATGACATTAAGAGAGGATAACTGAGATGGTGCTTTGGGCAGTTAAGATATTCAAAGGAAATGGGATAGATGAGGATTGGTTTAAAAGGAAAAAAAAAGAAAAAGAGGCTGATATATTACTGCCAGTGTTATTTAATTATTTCCGAGTTAACAATGCAAAATGAGGGTACACTAAATATAAACCCTTATCTTTAATTATTACGCCTGTCCTGTTCTACTTGTACTGGAAAACCTGAAATCAATGAGAATGAATCCCAGCAGCGATCCAGTTACTACCAGAGAAGGGCTGCATACACGAAAGGAGGGCAACGTGCTTTAAAAGACAATACAACAGAAAGTAATGCAATTTGAGGGGAAAAAAGGAAAAAAAAATGCAAGCGAGGTTTGTTTCCTTCTCTGCCTTCATCCTGAGCTCACATTAAATGACAGACTTTTCTTCTCTCTGCATTCCAATTAGAGTGTTCCAGTGGGCAAGCGGGGAAGGGAATGTTAATGAGGCAGCGGGGGAGCGGGCTGGGAGCCGGGGCTGGCGGCTCCCCGCTCCCGCCGCAGTCCAGGGCAGCGCGGCGCGGCCGCCGGGGCTGTGCCCTGCCAAACGCGCGCTTGACCGGAGGCGACAGAGGCTGAGGAGGGAGGGCTACGGAAAATGTGTTGTACCGGTCCGGGGAGCGCTTTTCGCCCCGTTTCTCGTTCGCGCACCGGCGACGCCGCCGCGCCCGCCCGCTCCGGGTTCCGAGGCCGCGGAAGCCGCCCCGGGCCGGTGCCGGTGTCCCGCGGGCGGGGACCCCGCGCCCTCCGTGTCCCGCGCCGCCCGGGGCGC